CTATGTACTGAACTAACATTTTAATATTTCCGATCATATACATATAAAAGTTTCCTCTGAAAATACATTTTTCACATTATTTTACATAAAAGACATACGCACGCGAATATTCCGAATAAGCCAGTTACTGACTAACGTGTTCGAGGTTAGTTTTCCGTAGGATTCGCAATATTACAACGAAATGGTATATTTTTTGTTCCTAGAAATAATTTCGCTTGCCTAGGATTCAGGTGTTTGCGAAAATAACCAAATTCACTCATGAGAATAACTCCACGCGCGACCAAATCCTTTTGTATTTGCATGAAACAGTCATATTCGGATGAATTATTCAGTTTTCTCTTCAAAGTTTGATTTAAGTAAATATAAAATTTTAATATGGACCTGAATAAAATTTTCGTAAAGCCGAAATTCCTACTAACATATCGCAGTAACAAAATGCGTATAGTTGTGCTCTATTGCAAGCGAAAGTTCCCGTAAAAATATTTTCAAAATGTGGATAATTGGTTTTTTCCATGAAAAAGTAGGCAGAAGATGTCTTTGACCAACAATACATTCCTAGCAGATTTTTTTAAAGAGAAACAATTTTTGATGTTTAATTCCTAGAAAAAGGCTTTTGCTTGTAACTGATATGGTAGGTACTTGAAACAACAGAGTTGAGAAATGTGGTTTAAATTTATGTGTGTTTCTTTGGAGTCTATAAACGAATTTGTACTAAATTTTATATAACATAACAAATTTATACAAATGAAAGGATTGATTAAAGTATCGTAAATGTCTTATAACAACCCTCGTACGAACGGTCTTTGTTCTCGTTTTTGAAACCGGATCATACGTATCGAGTACAGGAATATGAACAGGAAACTTTATAATTGGGTTATACTAAGAAGATCCGAGTAGGTAAGGTAATCCGTGTTATCCTTTAATGTGCACCAGACTGTAACTGTGGCGTACAAAGCGTCGGAAAGGATACAGGATAATTATCAGAGTGTATTTACATATCAACAATATGAACAGAACCACGACAAATGTGTTGAAATGTTCCAAATGGCCAAAATTCGCCTTGGGTTGCGATAAATACAAATCAATAATCAAAATTCAAATATGCAATTGAAATTAGTAGCAAAGCGTCATAAAATATTTGATTAATATTCGGGCGTGTCATAATGACATTTAACACTCAATTTGTTGTGTTGTATCATTAAAAACACCTGAATGATCTTTATAATTATCTTCTGAACACTCTGTATGTGTATCAAGCCGGTTTCTGATGATACGATCACTTCCAAATATTCATCAAGCTTAAACAAATGCCATATCATGTAGATGATGCATATCGTGATGATTATAGTCATTTATATCTATTGTAAAACAAAAACAAATATGTTGAAGCAAACTTGTGAAGCAAGAATAATAAACTTTGAGCATTGTACAGCTTCCAAACAAACAGGATATTTAGTTAAACTTAGTTATTGTCATTAATCGCTCCAGGTCTTTGAACTCCCAGTGAGAATCAAATAATAACCGATACGTCAGCGTCGGAAGCTACAGCTGCAAGTACCTGATATTCCGGGGAATCATGGTCTCAGGGGAAAATAGGAATCACCGAAGTGCGACATGCCAAAGCCCAGTGTCGAAACTGTAGGATATTTCATGCCAGGAATATTGGATGCATTTAGCTGCACCAACAGCTGTAGATGCGTGATATCACTTGTTTTATTGGCCAGTTTAGAGCACAAAAATGGCATTTCTAGCTTAGTTTAGTAATTTAGGATCTGTATTGCTGCCAGATTTTCTGGCTAAAAAATATATTAACTTATACAGAAAAAAAGGTGTTTTAAAAGTTTTGTAAATAATAATTGTACATATAGAAATTCCTCCCGGGTCCTAAAATATAGATTATCCCTAAATTATTCTTTACAAACTTGAAATTATCTGATTTCAAATGTTTCACAAATATAAAAAAATACCTATCTATTTCACTTCAATATCTAAATATTTGCGAAGTGTACTGTATTTTGATTTCATTTTACGTCCAATTAAAAACGATATTTTCAAAACATTATAACATGCAGTGTTTATTGTTAAATAAACACATATACATGTCGAGATAAGTCAGAACAAGAAAATATTTATAAATAATTTGCATAATTAAACAAAGTAACTTGCATCATTAAAAATCGGAGCCTTGAATTATCAACTCGATACATTATTAAAAAAAAATTGAAAACATTAATTAAGAACATAATGAAATTAAGCTTTTCAAGCAAATAAAGTAAATAAGGCAAGCAACTTCTCCCTCGATGTAATTAATGTTTTCGTTTTGTACCATATTTTGTATATACAATCAGATATCTATGCTATAATTACGAATTGAATTTCCAAATATGTTAGAGGCTATTCAATCGCATTTATTCAATAGTTAAGGTCAGCTTTTAGGATGTATATCACCTACGCAAAAAAGTCTCGCCTTCAGTCATTATTGTCAATTAAAAATCACATTTGTAGGCCAAAAGTCTGACCTCCAAAGTGTGGAGAGGCCTTGCAGCAGTGTTGCTTCGGTAATATTGCAATCAAGTTGCCTTATTTGGCGTAATGGAAGATATATATATCTTCTTTTCTATAACCGGACATAAAAATACGAAACGATTGCGTTTGAAATCAGTTTTAGATCACCGACTTTTTTTATTTAAAGCGAAAGTCCACCTTCTCTTAGGTGTGTCAAGCTGTTAAGACGTCAAGAATTTTTCTGATTTTTGCTGGTTTAATAAAAGTGTTTTTCTTATATCAATACCGATAAAAAGAAAGAAGTAAAGGGAAACTTAATAAAAATAAAAGTAATTTGTCCCTGTATATTTATAATATACATTCATTAACTATGCTGTGGATGATTATTTTTCAATATAGTTTCTAATTGTTTTTCTTCATAACTTAAAATTTAGGCTAAAATTATCTCTACAGATACTTTGTTTTACTACGAACCATCTAAAATAAGAAACTATTTGTTAAAGCAAGATAAAACAGTCATTTGGAAACATATTAAAGTGAAATCACCCTGTATACAAATTTTTCGTCTACATTTTATTAAAATGATCACTGTGATCGTTGTTACATTTCTAGTGTGTGAAAATAAATAACTTAATAGTATCACTTCTTTTAATTAACGTCTAATTTTGTAATATATGATGACAGTGATGGATAAGTGTCTCTTAGTTTATCATGGTACATCCCATTACATCGATTTCATGGTTCTTCTGCTTAGAAAGACATAATAATTAACTACTACATTTCTTCTAATTAATGCTTACGATTGCGGTTGAAAAATATACTGCCCGATACTAAAATTGTTAATTAGGTAATTGAAAAATCTACAGATCAGAAATTTGGCATTTTGATTTTATCTCTAGACTAGCAAAAAGGCAGACGGTAGATATTTTTCTATGGACAGTGACAACAAAACAAAGATTATAGGGTGGTCTGTTTCAATACAGGAAACTTTTATTTCTTATATTCTTAAAAACCTATGTTTTATATTTTAAACTATGTAAAAAATTGTTACTTTTACATGCGATCGTATATAAACCTTTTTAAGACGTAAAACTGCTGTTGTGCTAATCAGTACAGTGTTGCCACGTCATTTATTCCGTTTTAGGCAATTTCAGAACTGTATTCAGTCGGAATTCTGAAACAACATATCCTAACATGTTGTCAGCTGATCGCCGACAGATCGCGTCTACCTTACATTTTCCGTTTCGCGAAGTATATATAATAGCGCTGATGGATTCGCAATTATTATTTAAAAACACCAATAAAAAACCAAGGCCTCGCGGTGGCTCCTCCTTCCAAGACGACTTGATAAATTGATTATGTAAATTTCTAAAAAGCGAGATGCTCTATTTATTATGCATAACAGATTGTGGGGAAATAATTGGTACATTGTCCTTAATTTACTCCTAGCAAAGATTTGAAGTGCTAATATTAGTTTACAGGGTGGGCAATCTTCGGGTGTATTATTATTCATTGAAATTATGTAAATTTTATAACAGGTTCCATATTTAGAAACGAGAGACGTCACGTTTTTCTGACTGGGAGCCTGCTAGTGTTGTTCTCTTACGATTTGCATACGTCTGATCTTTTAGGGCACACAGAAGGAATTGATTATGGCAACAGCAGAAACAATGTGTTGCGCAATTACATTCACACGGCATGTAAAGTTACAGTAACGTTGAGGAAACCGGAAATATGATTACTTCCTTGTCATTGCAATATTTATTTCTTTATAATAAGGCAAAATCTGCAGGAAGAGATAATTTAAGGATGCTTGTTGAAGTCAAGTTTCCTAATATAATATTTTTATCATATTTTCTTATACAGTGCATTCGTGATGAAAGGAACAAATTCGTTTAAAATTCAGGCCATAGTTTTGTAGAAAAACGCTCATCAAGATTATTTGGTCTATTCACATAAACGTTAAATTTCAAATAACCCCATAAGAAGAAATCTAAAGGGGTTAAATCCGGTGACCTTGGTGGCCACTCAATAGGACCTTTGCGTCCAATACATTTATTAGGGAAAGTTAAGTCAAAAAATTCTCGAATTGCAACTGCAAAATGAGGAGGTGCCCCATCGTGTTGAAACCATATGTCGTTACGAGAAATATCTGGATCTTGTGGATTAGGAGTATTATGACACAACAATTTTAACTATTTAATTCAATACATTTCAATTTTATATTATGGCTATAACGTACGTTTTCTTGATATTGATTGTACAAATAATTTAATATTTTTATTATTATCGATTATTAATTAATTTCACATATTACTTCATGTTATATGGTGTTCGTGCTTCGAGTTTAAAAACCATAAAGTATATCGAGTTGTGATTCACCGCCGTATGCCAATCCCGCCGCAATTAAGCAACTAATAAGCATTATTCCAGTTGCGACTACCTTGGATTCACTTATTACGCAACGAACGGTATGCTCAAAAAAATTAAAGTGTATCATCTACATATTATTGGTATTTCATCCGTATAAAAGCGAGCGGTCTTACAGCAAGAGTATCATTAATATTTTGTGTTCGTTTAGGTAATACAAACGGATTGAAGCCAGATATGAAGCTGGTGAGTCGATTTTTTTTATTTAAGAACAGTCTGTCGTATATTAATTTTATTTGAAATGTTTCACTGTTACATAACATGAAAAAGTAACAAATTTGGTGTGTCAAATAATACGAAATTGTTACATTTGCTTCTTAGATTTATGAAATTAATATTATGTTAAATGATTGTTTTAAAGTTTTGTTCAGGAATTTAAAATTTCTATGTCTAGATATATATATTTGCTCTATTAAGTTGCTAAATGTAACTAGTACCAAGTATTTAAAATGATGTAAGAAAAATATAAATTCATAAAAAGTTAATGAACTTTTATATTTTATTTATAATTTCAGAAATTTATACAAAAATTATAGTAAAATTTCACCAGTTGGATTATTCAGAAATGAAATCATGTATAACAAAAATAAAAAAATCATCTAGAGTCAGTGGGAATATGTTTGAAGAAATTGTAGACGTGCCTTATTATTCTTTTGTTTCAAATTGTTGAATGTGCTTCAAGTGTTTAGATTTTAGATATATCTGACTTTATTAACCTTAAATCGACTACTAAAGTCTCAATATCTACCAACAGGGAAAAAGATTCAAAGCCATCATAAATGATTCATTAAATTCAAGATTTAGAGATTTTTAGTTGATATGTTATATTGTAGAAACGAATACGTTTTTTATCTAAAATCAATTAGTTCCGTTTTATTAGAATTAATGAAAAAGCAGTAAATCCAGTTTGAATAAAATTAGTGAATAGACTCAGTAAACATTAAAACATATGGAAATACACAGAACGTAATTTGTCAAGTCAAATACAAAATACGTATTTAATGCGCTGCGATATTGTTTATTTAAATTCGAATTACCTATAAATGTAGTAATGAACAATGAAATATGCATTTTCATTTGCTTGTCAATATCTACAGCTATTTTAGCAGAATAGTCCTTGATCGAAATCATGATTAAATATAGATTTGGGAATAATGCTGTTTTTTAATTTAATATTTTACACTACCGAAAACTTAATAGCTGTTGAGGTTGCTTGTGCTAACAGACTACAAGCCCATCGGAAATTTTCAAGAGGTCATTTGACCCAGCATGAATTACTTATAAATCAAAACTACCACATATAACAAAAACTTTAGAAACTATTGAGTTTTATTTTTTTTCGATAAGATCATTCATTCCTGTACGGCAACCACTCTTTTGATAAAATATAAACAAAAACTATCGTACTAAATCATGGCCGGTTATAATTGATGGTACAAATTAAAAATTCGAGTTAAAAACCAAATACATATACCTATTGTGAAAATTTACAATATTTTAAAAATTCCTTGTTATAAACTAAAAATGTTATATTCAAAATATTATGGCTGTAACTGACTTTTTATAAGTAAAATAATTAAAAAAACCTATGCCGTACATTTTTAACTAGTTAATTTTACATGGCTGATAATGTTTTTCATTAAATCTTTACTACATTTTTAGGTCATTAATAACTATACCTACGGCATTTACAAATTTTCATCAGAAATATAACATAAAGAATGAAAATTGCAGTGCCGTACATATTGAAATTTAATTTATACCGTAGAAATTATAATGGCATTGTCTTTAAGTTAAAAGAAAATTGAATCGAAGAAGAATCGAGAAACTATTTTGAGAAATTTAGAAATTTAATGACAAAAGAAAGTGTTACATATAAATAAATATAATAATAAACAATTAATTTTAACTCGATATTCATGAGAATTCCTATAAAAATACTTACATTATTGTTGTGAGTATTAACAAAATATATTAATGCCGTACAAAAATTTTTCATCGTGAAATCTTACTTTTCAGAAGGAAATTAATTTTCCTATAGTAAGCACATGTTTATGAAATAGAATTAAAATTAGTGAATTTGATGTTGGTTCAAATCACCCCCCCCCCATACGCTACTTACAAATAGAGGGTTGTACCCTGTATCAGCAGGTACGTATGGCGTCGCTTAAAAATTTATCTATGTATCGATCCGAAACTTGCAGTATAAATGCCGTCAAATGACCCCTTGAAAATTTCCGCTGGGCTAGTAGTCTATAATACAACACAACAGACGGTACCAAAAATAAGGGTGAAATCTAATCAACATATTTTTTTTTCAGTTCGTAGTTCTTTTCTTCGTGGCATCGGCAACGGCTGGAAACTTACAAAACACCTACTTGCCACCAAATAGCGCCGCATCTGCCGGTGGTAGTGGTTTATCTGCCCCCATCAAGCCTTTATCACCAGTAGGCCTAGTTACATCTGCCAGATTCAGTGGAGTTGCTTTGGCACCTACCACCCTGTACGCGGCTCCCGTTTCGTACTCAGCACCAGCAACACCCCCTGTACCAATTCTTAAACTCAACAACGACAACAACGGCGATGGCAGCTACAGATACGAGTAAGTAATTGTGGATGTACTTATATTAACACTTATGTTAAGAAAGGATATCTCTGTTGTATTCGTTAAATGAATGTATCGTTTCTTCAGTTTTTCACAATCAAGTAATCCATGACAATCCTCTATTAATTGATACGTTTGTTCTACAATGACCACTGGGGTCAACCCAACCTAATACTTAATTTTTCGAGCCATTTTTACTCACAAATAATTGAAATTTGTGGAATATTGACACTTTTGGCGTTGTATTATAAATGCTATAAACCATACACAAAATGAGCCTGTTTAATAATTCCAGAAATTTTATATTCTGCGCATACCAATTTTGAACAGTTCTCTAACAGTAAATATCACAAATTTAAATCAAACGTTAATATGTATGCGCTTACAACAAAATTCAACTCGTCTACGTATTGACATGCACACGATATTTTAAATCTTAGAAAAATGGAAGTCGTCAGCAGTTACGTCCATAGCAAACGACTTCGCTAAGTGAATTACTCTAAATATTTTGTTAAAACAAATTATCACGCCATTCGAAAAGCTACTATAACTGATTTTGTGCTATAAAATCGATTTGTTTTCAACCCACCCACTGAATACCTCAAATACCTGCTTCTAATTCGACATTCCATTATTTAAAAATAACTTCCCGACTGTATATATTTGAGGAAGTTTGTGTTCTCCATAAAATTTTCAATTTTTTTAAGATATTCACGTACTTCATTAGAAAAAGACAATAAAGATGTAAGCCTTTCATTTTGCTGAAATATTTAGTTAGCCTAAGGTGTATTTGAGAACGAGGACATCAGTATTGACGGATGGGATAGTCATCCACTTACAAAGAAAGGAAACTAGAGAAACCCGGCAAATAAAACACGCCGCCAATTAACACTGTTTTTGCAGAGCCTCGTACAGCTGCGGACAATAAAGTGTTCCCAACGCTTACTATTCAGTGTATATGTGACTTAATAACAGTTTTGCGATCATTTTGCTGTATTGTATGTATGTATGTCGGAGAGTGGTGGAATTGTTTTTCCACCGCGGCACTTAGGCCTTATTAGGCCCCTTGTACACTCTCCTTCATTACTCGAGTACTTCAAACCATCCTATTTACTACACGGGTGGCTTGGTGGCAAAGTCCCTGGTAGGCTGCCACTGCCACGTCCCCGAGCCTGCCTTAAGTCATCCATCCAAATTCCAGCCTGCGTCCGTGATGACCTCGACAGATCGAAATCCACCGGCCATGACACAGGCTGAAAATCATTGTTATTTAATGCATGAACCACTTTTACATTATAGGGGGTGTATTAATAGTTCCCGTAGTACACGCCACACGGGACCTACTATTAATTTTATACGCCGGCTAAATAATACTGTAACACACAAGGCATGTGCACAAGATGCACAGGGTCGGGTTACATTTATCGTCAATTTTTTTGAAATAATTTTCTCGAAAACTTAAGTTAATGCTTCAGCATTTAGACCATCACGTACTTAATAAAAGTTGCTCATTTTCGTGTCTTATATCACCCATTTCAAGGAAAGCACTTGTTTCAGAAACACCCTGTAGAAACGATTATTTTAGTATGTTATCAAATTCATGTATAACTTTTTTCATTGTATCCTTGAGAAACGGAAAGAATATTTAAAATAATGACAGTTTTTTATACTAATCTTAATCGCAGAAAACATTATTTTACTTGTGACTATTTGCTACATTCTAATAATTTTTAAATCTGGGCAGGTCTAAAATACACTGTCGTAAAGCCCGATTTAGGCAGCTAAAAACTTCAACATTTCGCTATTTTAAATAGGAAACTTTTTATTGTCCAGAGCTGTACGTCTGATGCATTATCGCCAATTCGAAGACGAGCGTTTACGCCCCCTCGAAGTCCCCCGCGGCCCTTAAATTTGCTTCGGCTGAAATGGCACTTTATTCCCAATTAAGTGACGAACAAGTAAATAATGCGGTTGGTGCGTTCTGTAGGAGACGCACCACCATTAGCGTTACCCCAGGAGTTATTAGGGCGTCTGCGACAAGGAAAATTCCGGTTAGCAGGCGTCGTGTCTCACGGGCGACGAGGCCTGAGATTCAACAAACATGTACCTTGGCGGATTAGTGAGAGCGAAATCATGTTCAAAATCATTAAAAAAATTTCAGTAAAAACAAAATTCATATTTCTATCGGAGGCCGGCAAAATTATTTAAATGAGGACACTCGCTACTCGCTTGAAAAGGCCTCCTGTGATGCTATTTGTTTAAATATATTTATTTAGTTTTTACATTGTGATATTATTTTTTTTATAAATAATCAACGAAATATTAAGTCAATCTCAAGTTTTGTATCTCAGTCTGAATGAAACGTATATCTATAATGACTGGTAGTTTACATTGATAAGTTTCAAGGGTACGCAGCCAATCTATGATTCCAGGACATACACCAATATCTGCTTTCTACAGACTATAAGCGTAATATTGTAATAGCTTCCAAAAACATAGATTTAACAGCTAGAACTGGCTTACAGATGTCTTGTACTCAAATATTTTAATAAAAGGCAAGCTTCAGTTCGATAGACCGCTAGCTTATCCGTGGTACCATCCAGCTCCAGGATTAATCATTTTGTCACCAGATGTAGGTGAAATGAATATTACGATGTGCTTTAGATGATGGGAACTTTGACAAGTACTACCCAGAACACTTCTCTCACGCCACCCCCAACTGAAACTGTAAAGAACTATGCCTTTTCCAGATACGAAACAGCTAACCACATCGCCGCCCAAGAGTCCGGCAGCCCCGTTGGCCCAGACAGCATCCAGGTTCAAGGAGGTTACTCCTACCTGGCACCAAACGGACAAACCATCACCGTGAACTACGTCGCCGACGAAAACGGTTTCCGTCCCATTGGAGATCACCTCCCAACTCCCCCACCAGTCCCGGAAGCCATCCTGAAGAGTCTGGAGATCAACGCCGCCGAAGAGGCCAGGGGAATCGTCGATGACGGCCAGTACCGAGGAGCTGTGTCTCCTTCAAGACAGTATCTGACTCCAAGTGTCAATAGCCAGTACTTGCCTCCAGGTCAGCAAGGCGGCTACAGATATTAAGACTGTCGATGGTTGTTTGAGGGTTATTTTATAAGGAAATGTTGTTTTTATGACTATTTTATTTATGTTTTCTCGTGTGTCATTAAGAAGCTTGAGCGGAATCCTGAAATAAACAGGTTACAAGTGACAAGTCATTTTATTCTATCCCTACAATGATTCTTGTTTTTTTTTGACCAATCAAACATTATCTGGGGAATTAACCACTATTCACAATTCACGTTACCTAAAAGCAGTTTGCTTTTATAGTCTTTCCGATATCAATTGAAGAACCATGTACTACCAGGTTCGGTCGCTGATGCAACAAATCGGCATTGAAATATAAGAAAAACTTGTTCCCATATTTATTTAGCCACACCCATATAAAGGTCTGGTCGAACTAAATATGGAGATGGTAGAAATGTATACGCTCAGTTGAAGAATGCGAGCGCGGGCAAACAAAATACAAACACAGCTGCATTGGGCCACTGCGCAACAAATCTCAGCTGTTGACAAGTGGTCGACAAATTGCCCAGCAGTGCAGTGCAGCAATGCGAAATTTGGTGTGATTCAGGTAATTTTAATTTATTATAGGCACCTTCTATTAATCATTGATATTACAATTCCTAAAGGGAGAAATAATATTATTACAACATGGCATTTTGGAGACCTTTTGAAACGGAACAAAACGAAATTTACCATCAATATAATAAAATTGTTTGAGGACATAAATAATTAAAATATGTTGTTGGTCAAATGAACATATAATAGAAATTTTCTACAAATTATTATAATTTTTTACCTTTAGCAGAAAACTTTTTTAGGGACTCCTATGAGTCATTAAATTTTATTGCCAGGCGTTTTTTACATGTTCGGAAAGACTATACCAACAAGATTTTTTTTAAGACACTTCTGATTTAAACTGGGCAATTTGCCAAACAGAAATTGATAGCAAAGAAGTTTAAACTGGCTTTTTTCTTGAGAAAAATGGAATTTTAATACAATGATAAAAATCTTATACTTAAGGAGCATTTTTTTCATTTAAAATGATATACGTAGTGTTTTATTTCTATAATTTTAGATGTTGGTGCTGGCACTTGCTTGTATTATGCCAAAACAAAGTTATGTAGACATTGCTGTGATACTGTTACAAATTTTCTTGTCTAATTTAATTTGTAACAAACTTAATTGTTCCAGAATTGTTTCAATTAAACTTTACGGTAGCAAAACAAGATTGTAGGTTTAACCAAATTATTATAAATAGCACAGGTTTGAACATCTACCGAAATTGCCGTTGTAAAGGCAATTGATGTTGTCACGTAAGTACAGAGTATTAAGATTTTTATATAGTCCAGGCGAATTAGGTTTTTTTTTTCAAAAATTGGGCCCACCTCGAATTTTATGAGCTTAAAATTAAGTAAAAAATACACAGAATAAAAACATAAATTTGTGTATTTGTAGAGGTCGAGCGTCATATTGTTTATAACAAAAAAGAAAAATAATTGCTCTTTTTTAAGTTTTTCGCTTATATCTCGGAAAATAAGCCTCTAATCGACATGAGGTATAGTTATTTTGTTCTTGAGGAAATTTGCAATAAGGACAGGCATTCGCGAAAGCTCGCAAAATTTTTTTTTACATTAAATAATTTGCGGTGCAAAAAAAATGTGCAAAATTTTCAGCATTAAATAAAAAGAAGGAGTTTGGTTGAAATTGGATGAAACTACAGTAAAAGGTAACTATTGGGATGCTCAAAAAATACCCGCAATCCGGACCCTCAATTTCAAAATGGCGGCCTGTTGCAAAACTATAAAGTCGAAAATGCGAGCGCTTATATCTTCTGCCCAAGTCAAGGTATCAAAATTTGGTAAAAAGGATCGAAAGGTAATTACATTATCTCGCGTTTATGTAAATTTCAGATTTTTAAGTTGCAAAATAAAACGGTAACTAGGGTCCTTATCTCGGCAATGTTTTAATATACAGGTTTTAAATCAATTGCATCAACTAGTGCTTAAAAAAACATAAATTTTAACAAAAAAAGCGTCTCGATCCGACCAATAGGAGCAAAGATAATTTTTTTTTCTTTAAATAGATTGCGGGTATTTGTTGAGCACCCTAACTGTTACCTTTTCCTGTAGTTTCATCCAATTTCAGTAAAATTCGTTCTTTTTATTTAATACTGAAATTTTGCACATTTTTTTTACCGCTAATTAATATGTCAGGAGACAAAAGTGGTTTTAAGAAAAAGTTTCGGGAAATAAAACATAAAAAGGCGTCAAAATTTATATTTTTTTGGCGGTTTTCGTACATTTTTTTAGATTTTGACGGAAATAATTTCAAAGATGCAATTTCAGTTTCTAGTCGAACTGATTTAGAAAAACATGTCATCTACAAATTAATGAACAGGCGTGTATATAACTTTTCTCATTCCAGATAAAACTAAATTAAATTATATTTAAGAAAACCACGCTTGTATTGCGTTTATCATAAAATTAAACAACGATAACAAACCGAGGTACGCCATACACATTACCGAATTAATCTCCAGACTCTTGCGAAACTTACTTCTGAAACCTTCACCGGGAAAACTCAGCGAGCTATTATCTCAGCACTTAGGAATCTCAGCGCACCTCTCCAAACAACTCGACATTACTTATTTCAATCTCCCTGGAAGGAAACCCAAATATTCACGCGGCAGTAACACGAATAAAAGATCCCATAAACAAAACTTTAATTGGACGTCCCGCCTAACCGCGGGTTAAAATAAACTCGCTCCGAAACGGAGTCTCGCTGGTCGGTCTCCGTTTGCCCGCGTTCCTAGTCACCGCGCTTATTATTTGTACCGTCAGATGCGGTCTAATGAACAAACTTCGCCATTAATTGAGTTGCAACAGCGGCGAGTGCAAGGAGGATGGAAATTATTGACACGGGCGTACGGGGTCTATTTTAGGTGATAATACGGGTTGAAGTTAATATGCACAGCTTTCGCAGATGATTGCAAAGCTACGTGACAGTCGAGGATAGGCAACCAACATCGCACGATTGACACTATCAACTAAATATCCCTCAGCGGAGCGGTTGAAATATGTAAAATAACACCTATTGGGCTATTGACTATATCCAAAAAAACAGGGTTAAAACGAACTATGACGTTCAAGATATTTTATTACATGAATCGTTCAAATGGTCATTTTAGATGAAAAAACCCGCAAAGTGCTATGAAATTAGAGGGTGGAAATTGGAGAGGGGGGGTAAAAATGCACCCCTTTCAGTTTTTTAATTGTAGCTCGAAAACGAGGCAAAATTTCGGTAGACTTCATAGGAAAAATTATTTAGAGAATTTAATTTCCCATCGAAATGACTTATTTAAAAAATTTAAAAGAAAAATTTTATGCAAAAAATCGTAAATAAACAATTTAAAAAAGAGCAAAAAATTGGATTTTTAATTTTTTTACTGTTTTGCCTCTAGTTTTTTTTTTTGAGTGAAGATAGGTGTAGGTATTGCTTCATAAAAAAAGTAGATAAAATTTCCTTCAAAAAAGAGGTTGTACAGTATTTTTTGATGAGAATTGACTGATATATGACCGCTCAAACTTAGCCAATTCTTCGATTTTCGTCGCATTTACCCTTATACGTTTTAATTCTCATTTTTTGCAAAAGGGTCATTAAAAATTAAAAAACCGCGGGTGCTTTTAAATTGGAGGGTTGAAACTGAAGATAGAGGTGAAAATGCACTTTTGCGGTTTTTTAAATATAGCACGAAAACCAAGGTTGGCAAATAGGTATCATGATATTTATATAAATACCAAATATCGGATATATATCTTGATATATAATATTACAATAGCGAAATAAAATTTAGAAACTATTTAGGTAAATATTTTTATTCCAAATATCAAAAACAAGAAAAATAAATATAAATTCTGAAACTAATAAAAAATATTTGCGTGAATATTAGGTACTACGAAAACTAACCAATTTACATCAAGTCAACATAAATTTCATAAATATTAAAATAAATACAAACACACAGCACCTGCTCGAATTGACTAACACCTGGAGAAATAATGAAATAAAAATATTCAGTCAATTTTACTTTATTGAAAAATTCGGGGAATCACATAAATAAACACGTTCATCAATGATTAGCATACCATCTGTTAACAGTTTTAGCAACTTTAAACCAGTAGGAATCATTATTTAAATTTTTATAAATATCATGATATATATCAAGGAATAAATATCGTGATATATATCAATGATATATATCGGATATATATCATTGATATATATCATGCCAACCTTGCTAAAAATAATGGCAGTTTCTTGTATACTCGTATGTATATTTTCTCCTATGAATTAAAAAAATTAGAAACACTTATTTTAGGCAGGAACGCGCCATATTTCCCGGCNCCCGTTTCACGAAAAACATTAACACAACGCTGAACTGCACTTTGAAAAATTTTGTACTCAACAACGCCGGGAAATTGATTTTGAAATTCTATGAAACATTCCTCAATAGAATACTTCCATATTCCATCAATCTTGCGTCCATTTCTAAAGTAGGACTCTATTATAAACCCTTTTTGTTCTTGAGAAAACACCATTTAAACGCTTTTTAAAACGAAAATATTCAAATTGATAGCGGCGATATAGCGCTTTGACAGATGACGTTTAAGTTCATTTGCTATACGCTACGCCCTACGTCCAAATTTTCAAAACCAACTTGACCACGTTATTATTTGAACGCTCGTTATATCATTGATATATATCGTGCCAACTTTGACGAATACGAAGCAAAATTTCGGTATAGTTCATAGGAAAAATTTTGTAGAGAATTGAATTTCCCATCGAAATAGCTTATTTAAAAAATTTTAAGGAAAAAATTTATGCAAAAAATCGTTAACAATTTAAAAAAAAGTAAAAAATAAGATTTTGTTTTTTTACTCTTTTGACTCTAATTTTCTGTTTTAGTAGAAGTTAGCAAAGAAAATTGCTGTACAAAAAAACTAGATGAGATTCCCTTCAAAATGTTGCGTTTTCAAAAATTTTTGGACCAATATTGAGTGAATTATAACCGGTCAAACTTAAATATTTTTTTAGATTTTTCGTCGTTTTTAA